TGCCCACGAGGCCGCCCCTCCCCCGCCACGAGCGCCGGCTCCCGCCCAGCGGGCGCACCGCGGCCCCACGTCCACGGGGCGGGAGACGGAGGTGGCTGCGGGGAGCACCTTAAACGAAAGGAAACGTAGAAACACAAGAGGTGCCAGCGCAGAACTGCCGTGAGGTCCCTTTCGGAGGCGTTGTTTGAAAAGTGTAAATAACACAGGGCAATGTCCTCTTTGCTGCCCCAGCCCAGGCGAGCGGCGAGGGCACCCGGCCCGCCTGTTCCCGCGGTTCTCAGTTAAGCCGGCTGCGGACGGCCCCACGGGGACTGGGAAAGGAGGCTGGGTCTCTGCACAGGGACCTTAGGGTGGTCACGGTCCCTGCTCCCCCACACGGGCCGGTGTCACCTCGCCCCTCTGCTGACGGGACCCGTAACCGCTGCCTCTGTGGGCAGCCCCCCTTCCCTGGCGTGAGATGCTCGCTGCTCAGGAGGAACGTTCCTGCGTTGTCACTGGAGGGACAGTTTGCCTAATGGGCCACCTCGAACCACAAGGGCACTGGGGCGTCTCCTGGGACCTTCCTGCTACTGTCCCCAGCAGTTTCCGAGAACAGGCGGGTGAGGCGCAGCACAGCGGGAGCTCATGCCCCGAGGTGTCCCTGCTCCAGTGGCCCAGGTGGCCCAGGCAGCCCAGGCGGCCCTCACGGACGGCTTCACGGAGCTGGGGACGCGGTGTGTGTGAGACAGCGAGAGACGAGGTGTCGGACCCAGGCCCAGGGACGCCGATCACGGCCACCGTGCCACCCCCGTGACAGGTCTGACGGGTCCGACGGCCTTCCGTCTGCGGCCGTGGACAGACGGTCGAGTCGCTGTCCCCCTCAGACGTGTGTGTCTCCTGCGGCTCAGCTTCTCCACGAGCCCCGACTGTCACGTGGGGAGCACACTGGCCGTCCCGCGCTCCCGTCCATCAGAAACAGCGATTTCAGCGCAGGTTTTCAAAAGATTCTTTATTTCTGTGACCGTCACCCCCAGCTTCTCTCGCTCACCTCTCCTTCCCGCTCTCGATCGCAGACGTGCAGCCGGCCTTCCTCCCCCCAGCCCGACGCGTCCTCCGTCCTTTACGCCCCTCGTGCCTCCCCCAGC